GTGACGTAGACATGTGGGGGCGTGTTTAAATGAGGCATTTTAGGAGGGCGTGGACGAGTCTTAACTTTTATAAAGAATATATCTTTGGGTTTGAGACTTTAGTCTTTGCAACTTTTGGGATCTTATCTATTCACGAACAGCTTGTAACACTCCAAAGAGAAAGGACACTTGAAATCGCATTTGTACCTGCTCTGGCGAGAGTCTGGTTGACCTGGTCGCTGAGTAGCTGGGTGAGTCTGGCTCTCTGGGCATCAATGGTTTCCTGCATTGCCTTCACTCGTACACGCAGGTTATTGTTTTCAGTCTGCAGCATGGAATTCTCATGCACCATATCATTGATGCTTTCCAGACCGTCCTCGCCAACCATACGCTTGCCCTGTTTCAAAAATAAATATATAAAAATGTATTATATTATATGTAAGGGATAATGTACATCCAGCCGGTTGTTATCTCAGAATAAACCCTGACAGGGTGATCAGGATCTTGTATCAGCCTGAAGGGGTTTATTCTGAGATAACAACCGGCTGGATGTACATTATCCCGCTTATTACACGGCTAAAAAGATTTGTTTTTACCATATATGTTGAAATTAATGCTGAAGTCTTCCATTGTAACACGCGGTGGTTAAGTGTTTTCAGTCACAAGATGGCGCCAGACAGTCAACGATAGCGGAGTGACTCGTTAAGCATATAAGTAGTACCGGTCAAGATAACTCGTAGTACCCGGATGAGCGGTGTGTTATTCAATTTGGCGGTTGTTATCTGGGAATAACATACCGCTGCATTGCGCGATTGACCAATCAGAATCAAGTATTCCACAGAGCCGTATAATAATATATTATATTATTATAACTTTACTTATTTGTTCACAAACATGTTAGAGACATTACAGTGAAAATCAAATTCTGACACAAGCTTGAAGTAAATATGGACGCTGCACAAACCGTCTTGTACTCCATGAGCTCCATTTGTAGCCGGGCGATCTCTGTTCTCAGAGCGCTGATCTGTTGACTGGCCCGGTCCTGGTTCACCATCACTTTGTTCTTGATGTTGCGAGCACGGTTTGCATATTTTAGCGTGTTAAGGGTCTCCATGAAGTCTCGGGATTTGTGATATCACAAATATCGACGAATGGGACGAGACCTGGTTGAGCTGCACTAGAGAAGGCAACGAGTGTTATCACTACGTCGGAGACGTGCTAGTTTCCCCAAGGCAGACGAACTTAGAGTGGTTACAATCATCTGGGTTTATATCGCGCTCAAATTGATTTGATTTTGACGCAATATTTACACTGAAGCTCGCAGTCGGCTATGGTAAGGGGCGTGACATTTCCCTACCAGGACGAACAACCTAGTATGAGAGCCTGTTCTAGTACACCCCCAAAACAAAATCAAGACTTTGTAAAAGAGCATAATAGGACCCCTTTAAATTCTCCAGTAAAATGAACACTTATCATGGGGCCTGAAGGTTGATATCAATGAAATTTGAAAATATATACTCCAAAACAGATTTCAGCATGTGTCTAAAATTCTGTAGAGGCACTTTTATAATTTCCACACTCTCAGAAAAAAAGGTACAAAAGTTGTCACTGGGGTGGTACCTTTTCAAAAGGCACACCTTTGTACCTAAAGAGTCCATATTTGTACCTTAAAGGTACAAAAGTGTACCTTTTTAAAAGGTACCACCCCAGTGACAACTTTTGTACCTTTTTTTCTGTGGTTTATTCAGTTCTGGTTCGATGACCAAATAGCATAACAAACACTCTTTTACAGCTGTGTGACAGTGTGATCTGAGTGAAAGTTTTCCAGCTGTGGGAGATCTGATAGCCAGGCGGCGCCACCTACATTGTCTGAGGCACAGACGCGAACTTGGCACAGGTGGATGGTGAAGATGGCATGTGAGCGTGAGCTCTGGACATTCATCTGAGTGCTGGCGGTGGTGCGGGACAGAGCGCCCAATCTGAGACACTGCATCATCTGAAAGAGACAGAGAGGAGAATTCTGGAAAAATGGCACTGAGATAATTCAGCTCTCCTGAGCATGACTGACAATGAAGAAATGCATGGACCGATGATGATGGATGGACAGGTAACATTAAACTTTAAAATAACAGATCAACTTTTATTTGATTTTTATAAAACAAACTGACAAACTTTTACGCAGGTAAAATACTATATAAATATATAAATTACATAGCTTTTTATATTGTTATTAAAATTGCTTTTATTTATTTTTTATAAAATTGACAAACTTAAAAAAGTAAAAAGGCTTTTTTTTTACTTACAGATGCATGAAAAAACTAAATAAAATATATTTTTTAATAAAAACACAAAGCATAAATATTAAAATATATTTAAAAAAATATTTTTTTGTGATCTGTTTTTTTTTTAAATAAAGAAATCTGGAAAACTTAATACAACTGACTTTTTATTATACATTTATTTTATTATACATTTTTATTACATAAAATGGACTGATAATTGATTTGTATTAAAAACTGACAAAAATCTAAAAATAAAGATAATAAGCATAAAATAAAAAAATAAACATCACTTTTATATAACAGCT